AAGAGAAAATAAATAAAAAGGAGACATTTTAATAAAAGGCACAATAAATAAAAAGGAGACACATTTTGAGCAAATGAGAAGATTCAATCAAATGGAGACAATCTGTTTTTGAATGATACAATTAATTCAAAGGAAACGATAAATTAAAAGGAGACAATTCTTAAAAAGAAACAAATTAATTGAAAGGAGGCACTTTTAATAAAAGAGACAATAAATTAAGAAGAGACATTTTCGGCAAAAGAAATAATAAACAAAAAGGAGACACAATTTAAAAGAAAACAAATAGAGAGGAGAAAATTGAAAAAAAAAGACAACAAAAATAAAAGAAACAAACAAGGAGACGATTAAAAACAAGAAACAAATACAAAAAGGAGACAATTGAAAACAAATAAACAAAAAGGAGACAATTAAAAACAAATAAACAAAAAGGAGACAATTAAAAACAAAAAACAAAAAGGAAACAACTAAAAACAGAAACAAAAGTAAAAAGGAGACAACTAAAAGCAAAACCAAAAACAAAAAGGAGACAATTAAAAACAAAAAACAAAAAGGAGACAACTAAAAACAGAAACGAAAGTAAAAAGGAGACAATTAAAAACAAATAAACAAAAAGGAGACAATAAAAAACAAATAAATAAAAAGGAGACAATAAAAAACAAATAAATAAAAAGGAGACAAAGAAAGAAAGAAAACAAAAAGAAAAAAGACTGACTCTCAGTTGTGGGCGTTGAGGGTTTGGTAGAGTTGTTGGATTTGCGTTTGGAAGTGTTGTTTGGCTGCGTGTCGAATGATTTTGAGAGTTGGAGTTAAAATGCCATTTTCGGAAAAAGAAGTTTTCGTCAAATGAACTCCCCGAATTATTTCAAACCCTTTTAGAGACTGTCTCCCCACGCGCTCCAAGTCCTGCAGCACTTCCCGCTTCAAAGCGGGGTCTTCGAGCAAGTTTTCCAGCGAACTCGAGCCCTGCGCGCAAAACTAGGGTTTAGGGTTTAGGGTTTAGGGTTTAGGGTTTGGGGTTGGGGCTGGGGTGGGGGTGAGGTTTAGGGTTTGGGGGGGCGGCGGTTCGGGCTTTGGGGTTTGGGGTTCGGGTTTGGGGTTTGCGCAGGGGGCAGTGGTAGGTCTCTTGGTGGTTTAGGGTTTAGGGTTTAGGGTTTAGGGTTTAGGGTTTCGTCAGTGTCCTCGTAAGGGAGTAAAAGTAGGCAATTGTAGAAACGAATGCATAATTGGTCTATTAATAATAATTAGATCAAATGAGTTAAACTATATTAAATTAAATTAAATTAAATTAAATTAAATTAAATTAAACTAAATTAATTAAATTAATAATTGAAATAAATTGTTCCTTACCTTCCCGTGCGCCTCCGCCCACTTCTCCACCATTGGAATCGAAGGCACAACCACAGCCACCAACGCAGCCTGAACCGCAAACCCTAAACCCTAAACCCTAAACCCTAAACCCTAAACCCTAAACCCTAAACCCTAGGCACTGGAAAGGCACAACGATCACAGCAGCCAGCGCAGCCTAAGCACTAAACCCTAAACCCTAAATCCTAAGAACTGAAACGGCTCAACGATCACAGCCTTCAGTGCAGGCTGAGCCGCAAACCCTAAACCCTAAACCCTAAGCCCTAAACCCTAAATTCGGGTTGCCGGCGCCTCAGAGCTCCCGGCGTGGCCGCAAAAAAAGGAAAGAAAACAGTATAATTCCGAAACTGCAAATGAAAGTAATTGGCCAAAAGGAATTAATTTAATTAAAAACGAATTAATTTAATCAATTTAATTAATTTAATTAATTCAATTAATTTAATTAATTTAATTAATTAAATTTGAATTTGGACTTGCCTCCAGAGAGTCCCCGTAAACAAACATCTGCTCCACCCAGGGGCTGCTGCTGTAGATGTTTTCGAGTCTTTCAGGCGCCACATATTCCCCCTGAACGCAAACCCTCGCGAGCCAAAACCCCAATTTAGGGTTTGGCCTCTAGGGTTTAGGGTTTGGACAAACCCTCCCCACGGCGCCGCACAACCAAGCAGGCAAGGCCCGCGAATTTCCAGCCCCTGCAACACTGCCCCCCGCACCCCCAACCCCCAAACCCTAAACCCTAAACCCTAAACCCTAAACCCTAAACCCTACATGGGCGAGTTTGAAAATGTTTTTGGCCCTGTCGATAATTTTGACTGCGCCGCTGGGCTGTATCTCCACCACGTCTCCAGTTCTAAACCATCCGTCTCCATCAAAAGACTCTTTGGTTCTTTCCGGAGACAAAAAGTATTCTTTCATTAGTCCGGGGCCCCGCACCAGCAACTCGCCCCTGAAAAACCCTAAACCCTAAACCCTAAACCCTAAACCCTAAACCCTAAACCCTAAACCCTAAAGCTTAAACCCTCAACCCTGAAATCTAAAGCTTCACGGCACAAAATCCACTCTTTCATCAATCCAAAACCGCACACCAGCAACTCGCCCCTGAGAAAACCCTAAACCCTAAACCCTAAACCCTAAACCCTAAACCCTAAACCCTAGTTACCTGGGGGGCTGTGCCGTGGCGTCGTACTGGAGTTCGGGAATGGAGACAACTTTAAATTCTGTGGAGATGAGGGGCCCCCCAATAGTCCCTTTTTCTTTGTCTGCTACATGCTGCAAAAACCCTATTCCTGCTTCTGTCATTCCCCAACCCTGCAGCACCAAAATATAATAATAAATTATTTGAATTAATTAATTAAATCAATTAAATCAAATAAATTAGTCCATTTAATTCGTTAAACCAATGCAATTTGATTTGGGCTTGAAAACGGTGCCCCCAAACCCTAAACCCTAAACCCTAAACCCTAAACCCTAGGCCGGAAAGGCGCGAAACCCTAAACCCTCGGCCGTAAACCGTAGCCCTGCAGCCAAAGCCAAGGAGCTAAACCCCAGACCCCCCGCCCGAACGCGAACGCGCAGCCCCAGCTTTCCACCCCAAACCCTAAACCCTAAACCCTAAACCCTAAACCCTAACCTCGCAAATGGAGGCGGAGAGGTACAGCTGGAGGTCCATGAGCTGCTCCGAGTCCATCGGCGCGCTGCCGACGCAGACCGTCCGGAGGTTCCCCCCAAGTGACGCCCGAATGCCTCTGAAAAGCTGCACCCGCAGCAGCAGCAGCAGCAGCAGCAGCAGCAGCAGCAGCAGCAGCAGCAGCAGCAGCAGCAGCAGCAGCAGCAGCAGCAGCAGCAGCAGCAGCAGCAGCAGCAGCAGCAGCAGCAGCAGCAGCAGCAGCAGCAGCAGCAGCAGCAGGCTGAGCCCCCCAAAAGCAGGTCTGTGCGTCGTCCGCGCTGCTTCGCCGCGCGTGGCGTTCCGCGTTCCCCGCCTAGGGTTCAGGGTGTAGGGTGTAGGGTTTAGGGTTTAGGGTTTAGGGTTTACGAGGTCTGGGAGCGCGCTTCGAAGCGCGGTGGGGTCTTTCTGCGCAGCCCGCCGCTTCCTAGCCAGCGCCTGCCCCGCCAGCCACTGCAGCCAAACGGACTTCTCCGAAATTCCCCTTCGGACTTGCAAAAAGACTTTGGAAAGCACGCGGGGGACTCCGACGAAAACCGAGGGTTTGGCCGCCCGCAAGTCCGCCCCCAGCTGCAGCGTCTCGCCCCCGAAAAACGCCACCCGCAGCCCCAGCAGCGCCACCACCAACTCCGCCTCTCTTTGGTAAATGTGGGCCAGAGGCAAATAACTCAAAGTGCTGTCTCCTGTCTCCACTCCGAGTCTGTTTCCGCTGGCCAAGTAAGAGCCTACGAAGGAGACTAGGGAGCCGTTCGTGTGCACTGCGCCCTTCGGGAGACCAGTGGTCCCTGCAGCAGCAGCAGCAGCAGCAGCAGCAGCAGCGGGGAGGGGGGGAGGGGGGATGGATTGCTGGGTAGCTAGCTGGGTAGCTCAGTAGCTGGCTAGCTAGCTGGGTAGCTAGCTGATGGACTAGCTGAAGAGCTGGCTAGCCATTTGACCAGGTAGATAAGCACTCAGCTAGCTGGCTAGCCACTCGACTGGCTAGCTAGCTAGCCACTTAACTAGCTAGCTAGCTAGCTAGCTAGCTAGTTGAGGCGCTGCATACCTGAGGTGTAGATGATGGTGCAGATGTCATCAAGAGAAGGAGCCAACTCCTCAGGTGTCTTCTCGTCGGGGATCGTGAGGTACTAAACACAAACCCTAAACCCTAAACCCTAAACCCTAAACCCGCAGGGTGTAGGGTCTCGCCAGGGAGAAGGCTTAAAGCTGCAAACGCCGACTAGGGTTTAGGGTTTAGGGTTTAGGGTTTCCTTCTTGCCTTTCTCCTTAGTTTCTCCTGGTGGTACAGAGCCACATCCGCCTCTTTGTAGGCCTCCATCTGCGCCTCTGTTGGCTGCAAACCCCAAACCCCAAACCCTAAACCCTAAACCCTAAACCCTAAACCCTAAACTGGAGATGCTTGCGGACTTGCACCCCTCAGAAAAATAAAATGCTTCACAAATGCGAATAAACAATTAAAAATAAAAAATAAAGAATAAATTAACATATATGATGCAAAAGTGCTGGTCTAGGCCGAAGCTTTCAAGCGCCCCACAGACCCTAGCTCCCCCCAAACCCTAAACCCTAAACCCTAAACCCTAAACCCTACCTCGTCAAAAGACACAACTGCCTTAAAAGGAAAGCCTTCTTTCTTCAGGCGGAGAACGGCTTCCAACTTAGAGCCCTCAATAGCAAGGACTTGAATCTCTGCAAACCCCAAACTCTAAACCCTAAACCCTAAACCCTAAACCCTAAACCTCAAACCCTAAACCCTAAACCCTGACAAAGGCCAGAAAAGCTGAGGGCTTGGGCACAACGAATGGAGCTGCAAATTTGAAGGCTTTCGGATTTAGGATCTGCCTTCTCAGGACTACCGAATTAGGGTTTAGGGTTTAGGGTTTAGGGTTTAGGGTTTACTTGTCTGCTTCAAGATATGGTCTACCGACTCTTCTCCCAGCGTGTCGTAAAGCGGCACAGTAACAATGCCTCGATAGTTCGCTGCAAGCATCAAACCCTAAACCCTAAACCCTAAACCCTAAACCCTTGTCGCGACTCTTGGCGTTACAACCCCGCACCTGGGCCCTAGTCCTAAACCCTAAACCCTAAACCCTAAACCCTAAACCCTTGCCCGCGAAGTCCAGGAGTCTCCAGTCCATTCGAGTCCTCGACCAAACCCCAATAACCCTCAAGGGTTTAGGAGCCTCTGTTGTCCCCTCGCTTTCGAAATGAGAAAAAGGGACTCCAACTTCTTGGTCAAGGGCCCTCCCCAAAGCCTCCACAATCCGCAGGGTCTGCACGCCAAAACCCTAAACCCTAAGCCCTAAACCCTAAACCCTAAACCCTAAACCCTAGGCCCGAAGGCGCAGCTGCAAACGCCGGGCGGCGCCGCCGCCAGGCCGCGCCCTCTCACGCCAAACCCTAAACCCTAAACCCTAACGCGCACGCCCTACGTCCTGCGCCGTGTCCCCCAGAACCACCCCCAAACCCTAAACCCTAAACCCTAAACCCTAAACCCTAGAAGGCAAGTCCTGCGCGCTGCGCTGTGTCTCCCGGAAGCCCCCCAAGTCCTAAACCCTAAATCCCAAACGCCAAACCCTAAACCCTAAACCCCCGAAACCTCCCCAAACCCCAAACCCCAAACCCCAAACCCTAAACCCTAAACCCTAAACCCTAAACCCTCGCGCACGTCTGCAAAGGTGAAGTACTTGAAGTCCGCGAGCTCCACAACAGCCCCTTGGGCGTTTTTGATTGGTTTTCTTTCTCCCACGTAAAGTGCAGGGCCATGAATGCGGGCTGCTTCCTTTAGCAGCAAATAACTGAAAAACAAAATAAAATAAATTAAATAATTTAATTAATTAATTAATTAATTAATTAATTAAATTAATTAAATTAATTAAAAGAGTTTGCTGAATTAAAACGAATTAAAAGAATCAAAGTGAAGTACATTAAAAGAATTAAAAAAAAATTTAAAAAATCGAAAAATTAGAGTTTTTAATCAAAAAGAAAAATTGAAAAGAAATTAAAAAGGAGACAAATAAGAGACCCTTTAAACAGCAAAGGAGTGAAAGGGGACAAAAAGTAAATAAATAAAAAATAAATAAAAAGGAAATAAAAAAGAAATAAAAAAGAAATAAAAAAGAGACAAAAACACCAAAAAGGAGATTAAAAGGGAGACAATAAGGAGACAAAAGAGATACAAATGAGATTCTATTAGAGACAAGGAGAGCCAGCTGCTGAGAAGGGCTACAGGAAAGGCTAAACCCTAAGTTCCAAACCCTAAACCCTAAACCCTAAACCCTAAACCCTAAACCCTAGACCACGAACAGGGCAAACTGCAGCCAAGCCCGCAGCAGAGAACTCCTCCAGGCGAACTGCGGGCTCGCTATTTAGAAGCCAGGGTTTAGACGTCAGGATTAGGGTTTAGGGTTTAGGGTTTAGGGTTTACGGGGATTTGATGTTCGGAAACTGCGGGACGGCAACGTCCCCCAAACAAGTCTCTGTGGGGTTTGCGGTGTCGGAGACAGCTCTGTAGACAGCAGAGCTGTCTGCAGCAAAAGGAGACACCCGGAGACACAAAGAGACAGCTGCAGCAGCAGCAGCAGCAGCAGCTGCAGCAGCTGCAGCAGCAGCAGCAGCTGCAGCAGCAGCAGCAGCAGCGGCAGCAGCAGGAAACCCGGAACACCCCCAGACCCGTGCAGAGCCCGCGCCGCTGCTGCTGCAGCAGCCGCTGCTGCAGCAGCAGCAGCAGCAGCGTTTGGCGCTGCAGCAGCAGCAGCAGCAACGGAGAGCGGGGACCCCACACGGCGCTGCGGCTGGGGTGTACGTACAGCTGACCTGGTGTCTGCGTGCCGGGAAGCGGCAGTGCATAAACTCCTTTCCATTTTGAGATTTTCAAAAAAGTTTTAATTCTTTCTTTTTCTTTTTCATCTGTGGAGTCCGTCAGCAGCACCGCGCACTCCTCAAACAAGTCCCCCATCGTCCCGCACCGCAGCAGCGCCTGCAGCAGCAGCAGCAGCAGCAGCAGCAGCAGCAGCAGCAGCAGCAGCAGCAGCGGTGGTGGTGGCGGCAGCGGCTCGGGTTTCGGAGGGGATGCTGCTGCTGCTGCAGCAGCAGCAGAGGCGGCTGCTGCAGAAGCTGCTAAGCAGCACCAGCTAGCCATCTGCCACAGAAAAGCAGCAGCAGCAGCAGCAGCTGCTGCTGCTGCTGCTGCTGCTGCTGCAGGCCTAGCAGCACAGCAGCTGCGGATGAGCCGCTGCTGCTTCAGCTGCTGCAGCAGTAGGGGGCTGAACCTCCCTTGGCCCCAAGGGCTCCAACAAGGCAGCCTTGGCTGCAGCAGCAGCAGCTGCTGCTGCTGCTGCTGCAGCAAACTGCGTTGTTGCTGCTGCTGCATGCGCCAACTCTGAGACTTCCCAAGCTTTTTTGCATTTGCATTAACAACAGAAAAAAGAAAAAGAAAAGAAATGCAGAAGCTTGAGGAGTCGCGGGCGGCTGGGCTGGGGCTCTGGAGTGTACGTACACCTCAAGCAATGCTGGGAACCGCAGACCCAAACCCTAAACCCTAAACCCTAAACCCTAAACCCTGAGTCGAACCTACCGAATTGGAGTCACAGGGCGACAGTGTATGCAGGTTAGAAACCGCCGTAAGGAATGAGACACGCTGCGCGCGCCGAGGGTTTAGGGTTTAGGGTTTAGGGTTTAGCGCTTAGGCCCTGAAGCTACGAAACTGAAGTCAATCTGCTCCGGAGTCAGCATTAAGAATATCCTTAAAGGGCCACAAGGCACGCAGCGAGTAAGCAGCAGCAGCTGCTGCTGCTCCAGCAGCAGCTGCTGCTGCTGCTGCTGCTGCTCCCGTTATACTGTGCTGCAGCATTGGCAGCGTCTGTGCTGCGCCCCACTACTAACAGCCACTGCGCTTAGGCATTTCTTTCTCCTTTACTTTTATTTGCAAAAGGAGTTAAATGGGGAAGGCTCAATTAGGGGATAACATTAAGTGTGGAGGGAGAAGCACGAAGCGGCAAGCAGCAGCAGCAGCAGCAGCAGCAGCAGTGCTGCTGCTGCTGCTGCTGCTGCTGCATTGCATGATTCTCGCGATTTGTTTCTTTTATTTTTATATAAATACAAAAATAAATCCTTTTTTAATTTATTTGTTCCTTTTTATTTTCAATTCAGAGGCAACAGAGGCGAGATCTCGGCAGACACCTCAGGGCGCTGCGGTCGTTCGCCGACGCCCAGCCTCAGGAAGTGGGACTTTGACATTTTTTACTTTAATTAATTTATTTTTTATTTCTTGTGAATAAAACTATTTCTTTTTATTTTCCGAAGTCCAAAAAGGGGGGAAAGGAGCAGCCTGGGGGCCTAGTTCACCAGCAGCTGCAATTATTGAATTGGAAATGTTCCCGAAATGTACCAGTTTGCTGCTGCTGCTGCTGCTGCAGCTGAAACTGCCACTGCAACTGCTGCTGCTGCTGCGCTGCTGTAGCTCCCAGTGCCAGCAGCAAGTAGTTCAAATCAATTGGTAATAATGATAATGAAAAGCAAACTTAATTATGTTAAATTAATTGCATGCAAAATAAGGCCCATCAGCCCATTAATTCAACTTTTTCACTTCGTAAACATTTTTGTGAAACTGAAAGTGCAGCTTCTGCAAACGGCAGCAGCTCCTCAGGTGTACGTACACTGCTGAGGTGTACGTACACCTGAAAGCCCTGCTGCTGAGGACACATTTTCTTCTTCCACTTAAAATTATTTTAATTAAAGTTAGTGTCCCCTGCTGGCCTCAAACCTCCTTCAAGAAAGCCTAGCAAAGACAGCTGTTTCCTACCCAGCTAGCTAGCGAGCTAGCTAGCCAGCTGGCTAGCCAGCTAGCTGGCCAGCTAGCTAGCCAACTATCTGGCCAACTAACTAGCCAGCTAGGCAGCCAACTAGATAGCTAGCTAGCTCTATAACCAGCTAACTAGCTGGCTAGCTGGCAAGCTTGCTGGTGGTGCCTCATGGCGCTCGGGATTTGTTCTGTTGGAGCCCCTTTTGAGGCTTTAAATGAATTAAATGCTTTTAATTTATCTTTAACGATTTAATTGGCTCTTCTGAGTTTGCCCAGCTAGCCATTTCTCCTCTAACAAACAAAACACCAAAAGGCTCCCTTTGCCTTCGAAGACAAAGACTAGCCGCTTGCCCGGAAGATAGCTGTGGCTAGCCGCGGCTAACCGTGGCTAGCTGTGGCTAGCTGTGGCTAGCCGCGGCTAGCTGTGGCTAGCTGTGGCTAGCTGTGGCTAGCCATGGCTAGCTGTGGCTAGCTGTGGCTAGCTGTGGCTAGCCATGGCTAGCTGTGGCTAGCTGTGGCTAGCTGTGGCCAGCCATGGCTAGCTGTGGCTAGCTGAGCCGAAGAAAATTTCACTAAAGTTCTTGCGCCTTTGTGCGTGCAGAGCTGACTGCAGCGCAGTGTCTCTGCAGCTCTTCAAGTGTCTGTACACCTGAAAGAGGTCCCCGCTGAAGCGCCAAGCAAAGTGGACATAAAGTCCCAAACCCTAAACCCTAAACCCCAATTCAGTGCTTTGCGGCAAATGGGGCTGGCTGGGGACTTCAAAGCCCGGAAACTGCACACGAATACTGCTGTAAAGCGCCTGGGGCATTTGAAGAAGCCCCAAAACCTAAACCCTAAACCCTAAACCCCAAACCCTAAACCCTAAACCCCTGACTTCCGCCCGCGCCGCACAAACGAACACGAACGTAAACCCTAAACCCTCACGTTTCAGCACATTTGGCCGAGAACCACTGCGCAAACGCTCACACTCCACGTAATTCAGTGTTAGGTTGGGCGTTCACGGCCTAGGGTTTAGGGTTTAGGGTTTAGGGTTTGGGGTTTAGGGTTTAGGACTTGGGTTTCAGCTTCCAGCGTTGGGCGATCAGGGCTTGGGGGTCCTTCTGGCACGTGATGTCCCACAGCCGCGGCGTTGCCTCTGCGGGGTTTTCTTCGGCTTAATTTGCCAGTGAAGCCGC